GCCCCCGGCCCTGAGCTCGCTCCACGCCGCGCGTCCCCGTGGTGCGGCCCCGCCCGCCCGTCTGAGCCGACAGCGCCCCCTGCGCCAGGCTGGGCTGAGCCGATGCCGGGAATTGCACGCCTGGGAGTGCGACGGAGACCCCCAGAATCGAGGAGGAGGGCTGGGGATGAAGGGACCTGCCCTCTATTGGCAGCGTACTGGGCCCAGGACATGGACGGCCGGGAGCGCAAGGAGGGGACGACGCCGCTGAGTGTAGCTCCCAAAAACCTCTGCCACCAGGGGGCGTATCGCACCCCCTTCCCCTCCGACCTGTTAGGGGTCCCTTGGAAGCCTGGTGACCCTACGCGCCCCAACCCCATTCATGCTCTGAGGCGCCGCATCCTAAGCCTTACCCCCAGCCTCTGAATCCCCAAATCCCATCCCTCCAGGACCTTAGAGAGAGGGCAGCGAACCCACTCTAAGACCTCCCCACTCCAGGACCATGTTTCTGCCTCCACCAGCAGCTCCTCCCGGACACCCCACTTGTTGGAGGGTCCTGGCGGTCGTCGGGTGCAGGTCAGGGCACCAAAATCCGTAATGCGATTTGGATAGTTTAACCTTGTGGGTCCGGCGTCGGATGGAGGCTAGGGTAGCGCTGTGCGGCCGCCTGCAGGTTACAAATGAAACCTCTTACTGCGCGTTGCCCCCCAGTCTTGCGTGCGGGCGCCCACTGGAGACGTAGGCCCGGCCAGCAGGATTCCCGACGGGGAATGAGGGAGGAGGGAAGTACCTGAGGATACTCAGAGAGGTGGGCTTTGAAGAGGAGCTTGAAAGGTAAAGCTCTCCTGTTAGGACAACTGAAGAGCAAAGATTGGGGGTCGCGTGGGGCTCCCCCCAGTGGCCGCTGAAGGGCACTGTCTCTGCTGGCCCTGGTGCAGCAGTGAAGACCCATTTGTCTCCAAGGATCCCTCATAAACACCTTCTTATCTGTGGGCCACAGGGCAAACAATTACCACGGCATTCCTCCTCCTTCCCGCGTGCTAGTTCCCTCCTCTCAGACGCTGTGATCGTGGATTTGTGGAGACCTCCAGCCCCCTCAGTCCCCATGAGCAGGAGACTGAAGAGGACTGTCCTCAATCCTCCCCCGCCTCTTTCCCCAATCCTGGCTGGGGGGGGGAGGACTCCAATAGGCTGGGGCTTCTGGGAGGAGGCCAGCACCATCTTGGTGGATTGATTAAAGTCATTGTGGGGTGTGTTTTTTTTTTTTTACATTTAATTTACCAAGCACGCAGCGGCTGGTCAGAGCTGTCCCCTGGGAAATCTAGGCCAAGGGAGCAAAAGAGAAACCTCCCCCCCATGCGATCGAGCAGAGCCCTTCGGAGGGATTAATTGTGAGTTTTCCTTCCAGTCAGCCCTGCACACAGCAATATTTCAGGGAACGGGAGAGGTCACCACTCTGCGTTGGATGTGGGACCCTGGACACCATCCCATCCCGACCCCTGGATGATACTGGGGTAGCCCCCTGGGGGTCTCTGAACCTCCTTGTGTCCATAGAGAGGGAGTGGGAAGGGACCAGCCCGCTTGCCCTCCCCTCTCAACCAGTCTCTTTAAAAAGGATCAAATGCTTGTGGCCAGCAACTTGAGAGTAAAAGGCATCCCCTTGGCACACTTCTGTGAGAACCAAGAGGAATAGGAACAGGATTACCGTTCTTGACAGTTACATCTGGTGGTTTTTATAGCTGTGGTCCTGAAGAATGGGTCACCTGTGTAAATACCCATAGGAGAATGGCCAATTAAATCCCAGGACCACAAGGTCAGTTTGAACTGCAAGATTGATCAGTGGTTCAAACCCAGCAGCCACTCCTCAGAAACCCTATACAGGGTCTCTATGAGCAGAACCAGCTTCACAGCACTTAACAATAACTTTCTCCTAGGTGACAGCGAACACCTCTCCTAGGTGAACAGGATATATAGCCCATATGCAATGTGGGAACACACAGCATCTGTAAGTTAAAATTTTAGAGAATATATATGTCTGTAAAAGCCTAGACCATCCCTCCTCCACCATCTAGCAGTTTGTCATAGACTCTGGTGGCTTGCATGTTGCTAGTAGATACGCCACCACGACTGTTTCAAATACCAGCAGGGTTACCCATGGTAGACAGAGTCATCAGAATTTCCAGGCTAAGACAAGGAAGAAAGTCCTGGCTATGTATTTCTGAAAATTAGCTGGTGTAAACCCTATGTACAGCAACACTAGAAAAGGATATCATGTTTAGTAAACATCGACAACCAGGCAATTCACAAGGTGGATTGACACCATAGCAGCAAGCGTGGAGATGGCGTGGGACCCGGGCACGTGTCATATTTAACATGGTCACTATGAGTCCCACTGACTGGATGGCACTTGCCCACAGCAGGAGGCACAGGGAGGGGCACACAGCTCTTGACAGCTGTGTGCCGTGGAGTTGGTTCCGACTCCGTGACCCTGCATAGGGTTTCCGAGGCTGTGAATCTTTACGGGAGCAGAAAGCTTCATCTTTCTCGTGCGGAACAGCTGGTAGTTTCAAACTGCTGACCTTGCGGTTAGCAGCACAACTCGTAACCACTATGTAAGTTCCT